CCAAGAGTAGATCTCTAGCTGACTCTGACCTCTGACCTCCCAGCAGCAGAGCATTTATGATCCGCTCTATCCAACCTTGTGCGTCCACTACTGCAGGGTATCCTGTCAGCAGGAATACAGCACTGACAAAGCAGCAGCAACTGGATATAAACAATAAATGTGACCTCCCATTCAGCCAACACGTTTCACAAACCTCTACATCTTCCAGAGGGAGACAGACACTAAAAACATCCTGAGTACAGTTGTAACTTTCAACATTTTTCTACTGAGTCTTCACAGTGAAACAGGAAGAACTGCAGTCTCAGCAGTAACCAGCAGGGGCAGACACATTCAAGCGTGGTCACTGAACTCTTTCATGGAGAAAGCTCTGTCATCCTTTCAGCTGTTAGCGTATCTACTAATGCGGCAAGACACCGTTTTGTCACACTGGCAGACGTGCTAAATTTAGACACAGAAACACAGACAAAGTCATCTCACTGAAGTGACAAAGATGTGAGCAAGCGCATGAAACAATAGCCTCCTGTATGCTATTCATACTATTTGTATAATTCATAAGCGGCTATACATTTCTATTGTGGTGCCTTCTAAGTGCTTTTACCATCACTCAAAGCATTATGCACAGAGGAGCTCCAAGAAAGAATGCGAGTCAATTGAGCTAACATTGCTTTTGTGTGATGAGCGATTCGTATTCAGGGCGCTACCCCTTTCTGTTCCTTGGCCTGAATCCCATCTTAGAGATGAGATCAGACAGCGATGGGTGGATAGTGACTGTAATAGTGATGGTGGTGGTGAGTACAAACCGAGTCCACGGTACAGTCTGTCCCAGACAGATCCAAATGGACCAGGCAGTTGGGCTGGGCCAGGAACAGGTACAGGTTCTGCATGGGGAAAAAGTGTGTATTTTAAAGAATGAATATGAAAAATATACATACATACAATATATAAACTAAAATATGCTGTGCCTATAAAAAATATTCACCCCCTTTAGAAGTTCTCATATTGTTTTTACAACATTGAATCAAACTACATTTAATGTGGATTTTTGACACCACTCAACAGAAAAAGACCTCTAACACAAAGATACAGACACACTCCAAGCAACGCCACAAAGGAGGACGAATTCAAGTCCCAAAATTTCCAAGTGACTAAGCATCCTTTGGAGTACAGGTAAAAGACCAGTGTGTAGGATTTAGTGGCATCTAGCAGTGAAGTAGCAATCTGCGGTGCCATGTGAACACGTCTGTATTTGACGACCTGAGAATGAGAACAGGCTGTTTTAGGGCTACTGTACAACCATGGCGGTTCAACATGGTGGACTCTATGGAAGGTGGCCCGTGGCATCTGTAGATAAAAAGGGCTCGTTCTAAGGCAATGAAAACACAATTTCTTGTTTTCAGGTGATTATAGACTATTGAAAGTATACCTATGAATGCCATGGCAACAACTGCATGTGTAGACGCAGCAGCCTGTAGCTCCTTCAAACTTGATACATTTTTGTTTTAATTCTGTATTTTTATTTATTTTATTTATTTTTTTTCAGCTTTGTTGCTGAAAAAAACATCCATGAATGATGTCTGATTGGGTCTGATTTTAAGGGGCTGAGCAAAATTGTTCAAATCGACTGGATTCAGAAGATTTTGATTATGACAACAGCCACACATTCAGATGCTGTGACTGAAAGGCTAGCTCCTTCAAACATTTCTGTTGTCGGCTTTATTGCTGAAACATATGTTACCTAAGACAGAAACGGCCTGCAGTCATCGGAAAAGAAAGTGTGGGGTTTGGATTAAAGAACAGCAGAGGATGATCCACCCAGCCAGACTGACCGGACGAGACCAAGGTGCTGTTGCTCTAGGAGGAGGGGGAAGAGAGCCGTATAGGAACCATGCTGACCCAGCTTGGACTAAAGGCTGCTCCTGGCTAATGTCTGGTTTTGGACGAAATGGGAAATCAGAAATCATTTCCTGGGTGTAAATGTATATTTATATGTATAGAAATTACTTGATATATTGACTTATTTATCTTTTAAAATTTTAATCTTTTTTTTATATAATTAATACAACCTTGTGTTGTATAATGATGACTTAATTTCCATGATTCCTTGATTGATTATATTCCCTTTCTGCAAACAGATCCTCCTAAATGTTATACACTGGACCTTTAAATCAATCATTAATAAATTAAAAGAATATGGCACAGCAGTAAATCTGCCCAGAATAGGCTGTCCTCAAAGTGTGTGAGTGTGCAAGAAGGAGGTCACCAGGAGACCTCTGCCAACTCTGAAGGAGTTCCAAGCTTCAGAGGCTCAGATTAGAGAGTGCAGACGACAACAGTTGTTCCAGGTGCTTCACCTGTCGCAGCCTTATGGCAGAGTGGCGAAGAGAAAGCCACTGTGGAAAAAGAACTCACATGACAGCTCTGCTACAATTTGCCAGAAGGCATGTGGGAGACTCTGACATCAGCTGGAAGAAGGTTCTTCGGTCTGATCAGACTAAAATTGAGATTTTCATCTATCATATCATCATATCAACATACTTTAGCACCCCCAGGGTGAAGCATGATGGTGGAAGTATCATGCTGTGGAGATAATTCTCTGCAATAGAGTAAAAGGAATGCAGAAAAATACAGGGATATCCTGGATAAAAACTGAACTCGGTCTGCAACAATGTTAAGGTTCTGGAGTGGTCCACATCTCCATCCCTCCATTATTGTCCCCTTATGTGGGATTGGGTTGCGGTGGCAGCAGGTCATGCAGGGTACTCCAGACACCTCTCCTCTGCAATGCCTTCTAGCTCTTCCTGGAGGCTCCCGGATGGATTCCCATGCCAAATGAGATATGTAGTACACAGGAAACTCATTTCGGCCTTTTGTATCTGCGATCTCATAATTCATTTAGATGAGTTTTCTTTTTGACATTAAAAGGTCTTTTTTTGTTGCCACACTAAATTCCCCTTGATTAAATGTTGTAAAACAGTAGTCAGGTTTCCATCCAAATGTTGCACAAATGTGAGCCAAAATTCCAGAAAATGTGAATTAATGTGCTTTTACATCTACTACTGTTATGCAAATGAGCAAAATAGGAATTGATTCTTAGAGCTAAACAAGATGAAATAATTAAGAGTGCCAGTCACACTTGGAACAATGGAAAACTAGGTAGAAAAAAATATGGAAATATGTCATTTCTGTATGTTTTATGTATAAATAAGGTTACAGTCTCCTCAACGCTCCACACAGATCTGATGTTTTCGTCTGCTACAATTTTTCTGTTCAGTAGATGTTTGAGGCTCATGTTTAATGGACGTCATGATTTATTTTCCAAGTCTGTTTCAAATGCACTTGGTTTCATTTTGTTTTTCCAACATCAAATTTGCCTGACCCAGGCAATAATGAAAGGTTTTTGTATGTGTGTCCCTCACCGTGGCATCCTCTCCTGACAGAACTCCAGGGTTTTTGCTGAGGTCCAGATGCAGCAGAGAATTGGAGTAGTCGTCACTTGAACACAACGCCTGGGACAGAGAAACCACACCTAACCTGAACGGGGGGGGGGGGGGGACAGACAGAGGGGGCAGACAAGAGGAGAAGATAGAGTTATGAGTCAATTTAACATCCTTTTTCAATGGGCCAATTTAATGCTCTGGACGTGACTTATTAGCAACTGATGAATACCAAACTACATAATGGAAGAGGGTGAGCAAGCTCGTGGCAAAATATAATTGAGCCAGGACTAGTGAGCTTATATGGCTGGGTAGCATAAAAAGAGCTTTTGGAGAAAGCCAGCCACCTTTCCCCCGCCCCATACTAGTATCCATGTGTACCCTGAAAGCCAAAACAAAAAAAGATCATTCTCTCAAATCAGATCACTACACAATTACACCCACAGGCCCGATGGAACCCCTCATTAAAATCCTCACCCTGCAACACTGACGCAAAGCACAGCACGCCATGGCAAGTTGAGGATTAAATATAGACACAATAACAACACGGGAGAGATATCTAGCAGCAGGAACAAATAAAAAAGTCTACAAACATGGTTACTTTGTCTGCAGTTCACTGTACGATATATCACTGATTACGGCCAGCAGTTATAGGAAGTGCATTTGTTCTGTGTGTCTGGAAGAAGCCGTCGACTACATGTGCTGCTCTGAAGCTAGCAAGGCGCTAAGCTCTTCATCCCTAATTTGTAGCGATTAGGAAGGAAATGAGGGGAAGAGGGGACAGGGTGTCTAATCCCCTCCCCACTCCATCCATCTATCTATCAGCTGCTTGATTCTGCTGGAAGCGGAGACTTTTAGGAGCCACTCGGTCTGTGTGACAATGTCAAGTGCGTGTGTGAGAGCATGCCTGATATATGCATGTCTGATCACATCTAAGAGACGGCATACGCATGCATGTGTGTGCGCGCGCTTGTGTCGGCATATGTGTAGGTGTTTTAGAGACAGACAAAAGGAGGGGGGGAGAGGGAGAGAGATCTATAAATATTCAACAAAAAATGCTCAGCCCCTGCAAAGTCATACCAACACCCACCATTCAAGGTCAGTACAATCACTGCATTCCTCCTGAATCACTGTGTCAACCACTGCCTTTTAGAATCGCACCTAGTGTGGTTTCCCCATTAATAATTAACTAACAGGGTATCCAGTTCATGGTTTTAAATATAAAAATCAGTTTCAGCCTTAGAATTACATTTAACACGTCCTCAGCCATACTGCACTACAAAGGTAGAGAGCAGTGACTACAGAGGCAGGAAAGTTGGAAAAAAGGGCTTCACATTCAAGCTGGCTAGCAAACTGTAACCGGTTGTAATGCCTCGATTGAAAAGGTCCAGTGTGTAACATTTAGGAGATCTACATTGCCCAAATGGAACATAATATTCATAGGTCACCTGAAAATAAAAATTGTTGTGTTTTCGATACTTTAGAATGAGCTGTTTTAATCTACAGAGGGAGCGGGTCTGCTTCTACAGAGACTTCCATGTTGAACCGGCATGTTTCTACAGTAGCCCAGAACGGACAAACCAAACACTGCATTTTCGCATTTTTCGTGCATTTTGCAGCCACCGTAAATTATCTTAAACGCTTGGAACGGTAGGGTGAGGCGAGGGAGCAACTACACTGTTACACCATTAAATCCTACACACTGGACCTTATATTACTTATATGTGATGTAAAGATAGAGTAACCACACAAAATCAATTCCAGTAAAAATGGGAGTTTTTGCTATGCTAGTTAGCATTAGCTGAAGTTTAGTTTTTTTCTGTTGGTTTTCAGCTACTCCCTCATTACATTACCCGATACATTGATTAACAAAGTGAATTACCAGACATCAGTTCATCAGGAAGGATGTTTTACACACAGGTAGGCAAAAAACAATCAGCTACATTTTTTTTTTTTTCGCTTTAGCAAAGCTTAGCCAAGGCCGTCGCACCAGCCAGATTGCACTTGACATAATTCTCTTTCTTCCCCTCTTCAGCTAGTTTTCTCTGCTGCAGGTAGTTTGGGTTTTTTTGTTTGTTCAATTCAGCATCTCTTCCATTGCACAGTACAATGGAGGGGAATAGATCATCAACTGTCTACAATTTTCATGGGAATGTAAATGGTGAAACATTGCACTAAAAAGGTCAGATCACACTTTTGACTAAATATGTAGTTACTGTGTTTTGCCTTTGTAGGGCAGCATACTACCCTTCTGTAACTCAGCAGGGAATAAAATCATCATATAAACTAAACCGGATAAACATTACTGCCCGAAACTGCGATAAAAATGCAATAAAATACATTATAATGACCAGAATGCTATCAAGATTAGGCTATTAATGTATAGATCTTTATCTGCATCAATTTTATCTTTTTGAATCTACTGTAACACTAGTGCATGGTTGTATTGTCTGGGATAAAAGCAATGGAACTGGGACACTGCACTAATTCCTACGTAGGATTTTAGGGGGCAAAAAACAGATCAACTACTTATGATTCTGACCTGATTATCCTTTGGTAGATGGATCATACTGTACATGCATGGGTCTGTTTATCTATGTGAGTAAATGCCAGCCCAAAAAATACTGCATTTGGGGCAGCGGGACAGAATTGTGGTTCGAAAGACTGTTTTTTGGAGTATAAGAACCTAGGTTCAAACCCAGACAGGAAGCTGCACTCTGATAAAGTGTCTTTGAGCAAGAAATATAATTTTTGTACCAGCTCCAAACAATATTCGGGCATTCACTTGCTTTCTAATAATAGTAAAATATGTGTGTTTGTGTGCAGGGTCAGCCACTAGAGGCTGCTGTATTTCAGAGGAGCACTCCTACCCTTGGAGGAGAGGGAGGTCTTAGAGAGATTGAGGAGGCGCAGTCCCTTGTTCAGTCGACACACTTGTTGAATCAGGTTGGAGACTCCTGGTATGAGAAGAGGAGACAAAGCGGGGAGAGAAAATAAAGGCCTCATTCAATTACAAAAACACACATATACACCCATTTAGAGTCAAAACAATTACGGTTTAATTGACTAGTTGATCGACAATAAATCAATCATCTATTGCTTAAGTCATGCACCAAGGACAAATGCCAACAATTTACATCCAGTCTGTCAAATGTGAATATTTGCTGGTTGTCTTAGAGAAACTGAAAATGTTTGGTCTTGTTTCATCTAACCAACATTCCAAAATCGAAACAATTAATCAGTAGAATAAATGACAGATTAATGGATACTGATAATAATCGTCACATACAGCCCTCCACCTATTCACTCTTGAAGTGAAGAGTTATGAGCCCACACAGAGCTTTGTCACAGAACATCAAGCTAAAAATGCAGCCTCTCTCTGAAATCACCCACTCCAAAACATACACATATACTGTAGTACATACCCACAAGTATACTACAGCTAAAAAAAAAAAAAACACGTCACACCAACATACTTTACAATCTCACTTTCTCCCACATACCAACAGTGCAGAGACAAACCCATGAATATAATATGCCAAGCTGGATTATGTAACAACTAATTTCAGCTCAGCAGTTTCATTATAAACATCTTTTTTTTTTTTATTTATTAAAAATGGAATTTATTGTAGGGCCAAACTTTGTTTCCTGGTTCCCCCATCTTCCTGGCTTTATTGGTTTTAATTCATCTGTATGTACAGAACTCTTACTTTGAAAGGCATAAAAAATACATTGTGGCCACTGAAAACAGGCACAGCACTGAAGGTCATTCTTTAATGTGATCATGGGTATTATTGTGATAGTGGTTAAAGCTGCAGAACCTTTGCGGCTGTAATCACAATAAAGTAGGTCTGCACATTGACAATACACACACAAACACATACACACACACACTCAAACAGAGGGCAGTAAGTGTGAGCACAAAGAATTTATTGAAGTGAGTGGAAGTGACGTGTCATACGGGAGGACAGAAATTAGCAAATGCGTGATACTGGCATGCATGCAAAGCTTGACCCTGGCATACCAGCACATGTACAGTACATATTCTCTCCCTGTGCGTCTTTCAGACTCATACAACAGAGCAGAAAGGTGAATGGTGGTTGATGCAAGTATTTCTATATGTGTGCATAGAGAAAAACAAGAGGTTGTGAGGGCTTACGTGGGGAATTGTGGGCGAGACCGAAAAATAAAAGAATTTCTCTAAAGAGGACCACTCAGACATATAGCATGAAAGATGGATGAGAGAAAAAACGAGAAATACAAGGAGAAACAGAAAATAAGGGTTCAGTGAGGACGGAGATTGATTTTGATTTCTTTCAGAGCAAACTACGGCGAAGTAAAGGCAGAAGAACAATCGGAGACGTCCTAAGAGAGACAGCAGTAGGAGGCAGAAACAGTTCACAGTGTCTTGGCCAATACCTTGGTTGTCGAGCGTGTTGTGAGCCAGGTTGAGAGAGTGAATCACAGACGCTGGGTTCTCTGACAGCGCCGACGCCATCTTCTGCGGAAAATCCCTGGAGGCAAAACGTTAAATGGGGAAATTAAGTTTTCTGTAAAAACTGTTAACTCAATACTGATCTAAAAGTTTGAGTGAATCTGCTGGAGAGATTCATTCATTCTTGGTAATGATAACCTTCTGAAGTGGCAGTATTGTCCCTTCGCACAAATGTGAATTCAATTGAAGCATGTTCGTACTGTGAAGGTAGAATCTGAAGGCAAAATGTTCAAGAGTATTGAAAGATTGGTGAGGTTTACTAATCCTTTGACAAAATTTCCTGATTTAAATAATAACTTTGCCTAAAAAGTTTGCACAATTATATTTTTGTCCACCAACTCCTTTGAGGTGTCATTCTCGTACTGGTATCAAAACTCAAGTATTGTATTAGCACCAGTAATAAACATATCAAAAGATACACAGCCTTACAGTGGAGGTCATATTAGATTTGGGTTTTTACCAGGCTTTCAGTGCATTGCTTAGGTTTTCTGGGTTGCAAATGTACTTTTTCTTCATCAGCAGGCAACTGTTCATTGTTAGCCACTGCTGTTTTGTGTTTTTAGATTGTTCCCCTTCTCCAAAGTGGACAAAAAATAAATAAAAAATAGATTAAGGCTGCTTTAAGTAAGCCAGCTAAGCCATATTAAAAACATGGTTTACTGTAGTTCACAAAGATTTATTTGGTGGGAACAAGTCTTCACTTGTCATCCTCCAAACATGAGCATGTCATGCTTATAAATGTATTTAAGACTCACATTTTTTCTTACTGTGCTGTACGTTCATATGTGTGCCTGCAAATGGCTTTTAAATCTTCTAAATCACATATTTCAAATCACATCAGTAAGTGTTTTTCAGTGGGAGTCTTTTAAGTCACATAATGAACAGTTTGATTATCTTACTTACTCACTTGGTAAATCTATTTAGGTATTATTTTCACTTCACTGTCGGTTTCTGGTGCAGCGCTTGAGAAAAGCTTCTAATAAAAATGACCAGCTCTGTTGGAAGTGATCTAACACAGGGAAAGTATAAAAACTTAACTTCATCATTATGCTGTAGTAAATCATCTTGCCCCGAGGCAGCCAATTCATCTCAATTAATACTAAATAAGGAAAATGGTTTGCTAAATGATACCAGCCATGCATAGAAGGTGAAACGCCTTGCCAGGTGAAGCCCAAAATTTCACTAATGTTTCAGTGAAGCAACAATACACCCACCACAGGCAGACAGGAGGGAGCTTTATTGGAGCATTATTGGATGAAAGAGCGGAGGTTAAGAGAGGTGTGAAGGAAAGAAAAGGAGGAGAGACAGAATTGGAAAAGGTCAAGACGGCAGAGGAGGGGAGGGTGAGGAGGAGTGGAGACGTGTGATGAGCTAAGGTGAAGAGGTGAGACGGAAGAGATGGAAGTGAGAAGAGAGGATATAAGCAAAGGAGAAAGGGAGACGGTAGAGAAAAGACGGGAGCAAATGGAAAGGACAAAAGAGAAGATGTGGATGAGTGTTTGAGAATAAAGGTGTGAGGAGAAAGAGGAGGAAATTAAAACAACAAGAGGTGACAGGCGGGGCTGTCGTTGTCAGGACAGAGGAAAACCTACGATTTGAGTCCTGCATTCTCCAGAGTGAGCTCTTCCAGACTGTTGGACTTGCTGACTGTGTGCAGGACCTGGTCCACCACCTCTGAACCCTGAAGACAACAAAACAACATGTGACCAGAGGTTTCTATTGAAGCCCATTTCTGCCCATGTGTAGGGGGGGAAAAATACTGACAGCAATAGTGACATAGCATCCTTAAATAATACACTTTCTCAATATTTTACTGAGTATTTAAAAATAATGACTTAGTATCACAAAGTCATTCTATCACAATACTGAGAAAGTCTCATTATCCTGAGATACTAAGTCAATATTTTGAGAAGCTAAGTCAATATTTTGAGAGAGTTTCTCATTATAATGAATTAAACAATCTCTTTTTTTTCTGTCACATTGGTGGAAATTAGCTTCCAGAGGTTTTCTACTCAAATGAGAGAAGAATTTTTAGGCAGGGAAAGTTAAAAACAAGCAGTAATCAGACACAATAGAATCAGGTTATGTTTTAGCATTGGTAGAAATCAAAATAAGTGACACAACCTACAGCGTACCACTACATAAACACAACATGTTCTGCTCTTCGCACTGATCTGAAGTGGGTGGAGCACCGTAGGAAAAATGATGTCATGAACTTCCACACACCAATTAGAACTGACCAAGATCTGATTGAAAATCTTACGCCAGTTGTGAGGTTAAACTCTTAGAAATCTTAAGATGACTGCTAGAAAGTAAATATGTGTATTGATGCAAACATGCAAGATTTAATATAAAATATTTTAAAAATCTATTTAGCAAATGATTTATGGAGGAAGGTAATACAGTCGACATGTGCGTTTGACCGCAGGGATACACATGTTTTGGTGAGTGACACTGAATGTAAACACAACATTTGTTTACAAGAAGATTCCACAGGGCACCTTTAAAATTCAAAGGCAAGTTCTGAGGGGCTTTAATACATTAATACATTCAATACATTTAATTCAATACCTTTCAAATATTTATTTGTTCAACTTTTTGAACAGATGATTTTCATGTGGTTCACCTCAGATGGATACCACTTACTCTAATGCATATTATGAATATTTAATAAGATTGACATCATTTTAAATAGATACATAAAACTCTGCTGAGGGCAACCTGACTCAGTGTCCTCTTTCAATTTTGCTTTCTTAACTTGATTTTCATTTAGTACATAATCCCAAGAGATTAAATGACATTCCAGTGAGGCTTTATGTACATGATGAATTGGTCCAAATCAATACCAAACTGATTCAAGTTGACTTAGAAAATGCTAACCAACCCCAGAACCATCCTTTGACAGAGATTTATTTTACGCATTTGGACTGCAGTCTGCCAAACCAGCAAATAAAAAAAGTTGATTCAATAAAATAAATGTAATCTGATAACACACAGGCTTGCAGAGGAAACATAAAAGGAAAACAAAAAAGTTAAACTGATGTTAGTCTACATCTGGAAAGAAGGTTTATAAGTGAAGGAGATACTTACTATTCGCATGTCTTTGCAGTACAGCTTGGTGAACCAGGTGTTGTATGCAATGGAAGCAACGATCACCGCCAAGTCCCTGGAAAGGGGACACACACACACATTTAGAGATAAAATTCAAAACTTTAAATTAGCGAGCTCCATCTGCTCAGAACCATTTGATGTCATTGATCCATAAATTCACATTATCGTGGGCCAAACTTTTTCTTTGGTAAAAGCAGTTTATCATTGTGACAGGGAGAACACTGTGGGCAGGGCTGCTTTCTAAAAGATGACTGATACTGCAGCCCCGCTCAGAACAAGCACAGAAAAGGGGAAAAAAAGAGAGAGACAGATGTAAAGATCGATGGCCGGGTCGGTGGATTATTCAATAAAGCCAGAGTTTGATCCCAGCTACAGACCTCAAACACTGCTACATCCACTGCTACACAAACAGACCCAGAGCCCACGGACCATCCTTTTGTGGGTTTGTGTCGGAGGAAGTAAGAGAGAGGAGAGAGAGTTTTAGAATCCTCCAAGGTCCAACTAAAGCCACACTGCTGCTACACCTGCTATACATCATCTGACAAACAAGCAGCAACACCGAGAGCGGGGAGGCACAGAGAAAGAGAATAAGCCCAGAGAGAGGAGGAAAGAAAGAAAGGAGGATAGCGAGACAGAGGGAAAATACAAAGAGAAAGAGAGAGAGGAAGAAAGAGTGTAATCTAGCCAGGGAGGGTCCTGTTGCCAGTAACTGCAGTAGCCAGGACATTACAGTACATCTCAGAGGAGTAAAATGGCTACAGGCTGCATTCCTTTTTCATTACCATGCCCGCCATCAGGCCAGTCCATTCTGACTAACACAGCTGAGGCGTGTGTGTGTGTGTGTGTGAGCAGATGATGCACATGTCAAGATTCATCATCAACACTGTCTGTTGATTAATGTTTTGACACCAGGACATGTAATTGACCTCTATGATGCGTGACTCAGCCATGCAGTGTGTTGGTATTTATGTTTCGTCTTGTACTTGTACACGAGGACATGTTGGCACAGCAGGTCAATCTGCCGCTGTTTAGTTCTTCACACGGGTCAGTTTGGGTTTAGGTGACTACAAGACTCCAGGGAGTATTCGTTGCGCATTGAGGATTTTGGTACCTTTGGACAGAGTTGGGTTGGCTGTTAATAAATGGTAAAATAAGTTAACCGGCTGCTGGCTTCACAGATATGACAGCGTAGTTGATCTTCTCATCTAACTCTTGGCAGGAAAGCAAAAGTGTATTTCAAAAATGCACTTATATCCAAACTGTATCTATTGCTTTAAGCTCAAATTATACTTTCCAAAGCAAGGCGGTAAGGTTCAGAGTGGCCTTAGATTTAATCTCCTGCCTGTGTAGACATCTGCATGCAGTTGGGACAAAACCGACTGTATGGTCTTCCTGTACGTGTGTAAACCATCTAAGCAGACACCCAGTGGGGTATAAAAAGAACAGAGTATCAGTGTATCATCATTTGGAGTATATGGCTGTTCAAGTAACCATGCATAGTAAAACCTTACTTTATTATGATCTGAATAAGCAAACCCTACAGGCTCATACATTTGCACAACTGGTGAGGTCTAAGAATATGAAAATCACAGTTTAAGATGGAGTTTGTCCTGAGGTGGTACTAGAGAAAAGGTCATGGGGCCATTCAAATCAAATTCTCCCTGGGAGCATGGGTGTGCTCAGAACGTTTCATGGCAATTAGGATTATTAAATAGCTTGTGGGTAAAGTTGAGGGAAGGTCATGAAGTGTCCACAATAAACAGGGTTCATTTCAGGGGAGCATAAATATGTTCAGTAAATGTCATGCCCATTAGACTTTCATATTTCCTGTGTACAAGTGAAACATCTGTCTTATTGTAGTAATAGAAAGTAAGTCAACAGGGGTGATCAAAAACATTATTTACCCTGTGGGGACAATGAATATTTATAGCACTTTGTGAGAATATCGTAGCCCATGGAAGCAGATATCCAACCTGGTTGGTGGCACGAGAATAGAGTAGAGAGTAAAGGTCAGAAGACACTAAAATCATTAGGAAACATTGTCTGAGGATGTGTTGCTGCACTGGAATAAACCAATGCTAAGTTCTAACCGCATGCAGACCATGACTCAGGTCCTTTAACAGTGACAGGGGAGGCAGGTGTCTAGCCAAGAGGTGCCCGAAGAAGTTCTTGGGGCAGTAAGACATAACAATTTCTTTCTTGCATACACAAAACAAAACAAAAACAGAAATGTATGCTAGCACACAATCTCTCAACTTCAATTCTCTCTCTCACACACACAAGCAGACACACACACACACACAGTCCCCCTCTGCAACATGGTGTCAACCTGCAGTGTCTGGACAGAACCAACAGAGACAGGCAGAATGTGTGTGTGTGTGTGTTTGTGTGGAGGGGTGTGATTCAGAGAAAGAGAGATGAACAAAGAGCTAAGGTAAATGACATGGTAGAAAATACAGGAAGTGGATAACGAGGGGAGAAGACAGGGCCAAGAGAAAAAGGTTTCTGCTTTCAGTCAGGAGGAATGAGTGGAGACGATGTTTGAACGGACAGCAGTCAGCAGAAAAAGCATGGCCCTGTCGCTCATGGTAACAGTAGATGGGCTCAATCAGGTTAGATTGAGGGGATGGAAATGTGAAAGGACAAGGGAGGGAGGAAGAGAGTAATGCACCACAAATAGCCTCCAGCACACGATCATAGACAGACAGATTCTTAGAGCCTTTCCTGTTTGTATCCCTGCATTGTTTTTTGAGATTTCCTTTCTTTTGTCAAATCTTTACTTTCTCTATCCATTTCAATTTGATGCAACCTATCGAGACAAGTAGGGAGAGAGTCTTTAGTGTTGGATTGTGGGCTCATGGGACCAAAATGTTTAAGGAAGATCTTTAAAAGAAAAACAGCACAGGCAGGCAACTTCCCCTGCAAAGGCATACTCTTTATCACACTCTATGTAAAATACAGGAGGAGAAACAACAACGATGCAGTGATTTTGGCTCTCTATATGAAAGACATTAATATATTCATGAGTTGCTGCTGCAATCATGCTTCTATGAATGGCTTTTTGATTTACCAGCATAGCAAGGCTTCGCCCCTACGATGAGATATGCATTTTTAAGTGTGAATGTATCCTCTCCAGTCAGGACTGTTGTTTCTAAACAGGAAAGTAGAAAGAATTCCATAGGCCTCAGGGTTTTCTAAGGACAAAACATTCCTCAAACAAGAGACAAGTAAGCTAGGCGGAATTCTCCATTTGCATGTCAGCTGTCAAATCTGTTATGATGGGCAGCACTCGAGCGACACGTACACTCTTCCTCAATATGTCTGAGAGGAAACTGGGGACTTAAAAAAGCTACCAGTGGGGAGGTAGAGGAGAAGACATATGGCATCTTACAGCTGTTTCCGCCCTGGATTCTGCCTCTGACAAGCATATCATTCCCCCTCTCTATGATCTTCCCAAACTTCTAACAAAGCTGAACAGAGACATAGGACAGCAAGTGAGCCAGTGAGAGAATAAAAGACCAATACACTCAACATTTTACCCAGGGAGGGTCTTTTTAGACAAACAGCCACTCTAATGTCATATAAGATGAAGGCTGACATATGATGGTCAGGGAAACATTTTTGCAAAACATCATGATGCAGAATGAGGGGGAAAAGTCTTTCAAAACTACAGTGTAGTCAGAAAGTATTAAGACAATGATATGTTTTTATTGTTTTGGGTCTGTACTCCAGCACAGTGCATTTGAAATGTAATAACATTACAATGTTGGTATTAGGTCCCATGTCTATCAACCACTGGGGGCAGAAAACACACCTTAAGCAGCTTCTGTACGCTGTCAGAAATGCAAGAGAAGAGCAACTCATGTATCTTTATCTGTTTACAATGCAGCCAAACAAACTTTGGACTGGGAGGAAGAAGAGCGTCACATTGCTTAAATAAAGAAGACTAAAGAAGACTGTCCATAAGTTAGTGCGACACACAGTTATACTGAATTGATAATCAAGTTACAACGGTACTGGTTGGTGCCTTCTGCTACACGTCCGGTATCTATGCAAGCACCTTTTCTGTCGATGCCTAAATCAATTTACAACAAATCAATTTGTAAGTACAGTAATTGTTTCTCCTCACTATGCTGATGGATGGGTGAAGTCAGAACAGTGTTTTACACACTGTAATGAAGCATCTTGGCATATTCTAAATGTAATAATTTGAAGGGAACAGTCAGTGTAACATATCACCCAGAGACCACCACTAGGAAATGCACAATTTTACACAGCTTCCAGCCAACTCTGATTGGGCGAAGAAAATAACTAGCCTGTTTCTTTTCAAAAGACCTGTGCCTGTACAGTTTTGTGGATAACAATGGATTTGCCTGGTACTAACCTTGCAGCAAGAGGGTACACACTATTTTTCACTGCTGGGGACATTACATTAGTTAAACCACAGTGGAGAACTTGTAGGTCAACTTCTGTTTCTATAAAAGAACCTGTGTGGGAAAGATGGACTCATTAATTCAAAGGCTACTGCTTAAAAAGGTGGGTCACCTGTTACTTCACTTACAGCATTTAAACTTAAAAATATTTGCATATTCATGCTCATCATTAAACTTGTTTAAAGAATTGCATCTACATTGAGCCATCCTGTGTAATATTCTTGACTGGAAATGTCGGGGCCCAAAAATCCCCAATGCAGCTGAGGAGGTGTTTCATGTCCTAAAGACCAGACAGAAGGAAAAAAAGCCCCTGAAACAGGAAAAGATGCCAAATGTCTGCTGATGTCTGCGGGTTACATTGACTGCAACAGAACAAATATCAAATATAATGAGTTTGTGTTCACTTGTCCAATTACTTTCTGTCCCTTAAATGTCCCCTGATGCAGATGGAAACACCCTGAAATTAATGCTGAAAGTCAGCACTTTACCCTCATTTTCATTGCTTCATTTCAAATCCAATGTGCTGGAGTACAGAGTCAATAGACACACAAACACACACACACACACACACACACACACACACTGGTTGCACTGTATACTACCTCAGTCTAAGTTTGACAGATGTTGAGTGTGTCTATGAAATCAGTGCATCCTAGCGTTCTGTAATCGGCCTGGGTGTGGTAAGATGTCAGAAAACTATGTCACCTGCTGTCAAGATGGCTGAAATCCAGTAAATTGAACTCCCTGTTGTCTTGAGAGTGGTAGATGGTGTCAACATCCTGGAACAGAGTAGAGCAACAGAGAAAGAGAAGAAAATATGAGACAAAAAGAGAGGTAACAGAGAGGGAGAGAGATATGGGAAAAGAACATAAAAAAAGATCCAGTGGGGTTTTTTTGCCAATTGTACAAAAGAGTATATTAAAAAACACAACAAACAGGAGGGCTTTTGTACAGCCTATACAGCGTCCTCACCCACTGCACTTCTTCTTTGCAGCCAATTCCGTTGTAGTCGCAAAGAGCTGCATAGGTCTCAGAAAAACCACCTGAAAGATGCAGAGAAGAACGACAACATATCAATCCAAAAACAGCTGATAAGAAATGATGAGGATAGAATAAAGCTGGGCAGAGGACGTATGAGAGAATGAAAAGTGGAAAGAGTGCAGGCCAGAGATGAAAGAGGAAGTCAGAAAGAGCAAGACACAGATAGTCAGCGGAGAGAGAATGAGAGAGAGAGAGAGAGATTGGCTGTAAATATTGAGGTGAGATGAAAGTATTGCACCATGAAAGAGCTCTTCTTGTAGATTAATAGGATTACCAGCAGCAACTTTGGTCTTCTGACCCACTTAAGGATAAGCCTCCAAAATAATTTGGTGTGCGTCAGCGAGTGGATGGACCGAAGTGCAACTGCGTATTGTCTGTATGCATGTGTGCTTGTCGTGATGTAGACAAAAACGTAACTCACCGCAGGTTTTCTGGGGCTCTAATGACGACTCAGAGTTTGGTGAAAACTTGTGACTTCCATCAGTCAGGTCTCCTTCTGCTCGACAAATAGGAGGACTGAAAGACAAAGAGTGAGAGAAGAGGGTCAAAGAAGACAGTCTACAGACAGAGAGTCTACAGCCATGCTAGCAACTCCATGAAGCTGCACTTTGAGCTAAATATTAATTTTCAGCATGCCAACATGCATACACTGACAATGCTGACACATGATGTTAAGGAGGTATAATGGTAACTATGTTTGCCATCTTAGTTTAGCATGCTAACATCTTATAATAAGTACAGCTGAGGGTGATGAGAATGGCAGATACAGTAGGTAGTTTTGCAGGCATTTGGCCATAAAAAAAGAACAAGTAGTGGATAAATTAAAATTCTGACCTGATGATGGTACAAGGTAAAAAGTTTACGGATCACCAAAGTGACCACATTTCAAGAATCTGTGTACCACATTTCATAGAATGGGGAGCGCAGGAGAGTTGAAGGGCGAGCGCAGAGAGAATGATGTCGTGTGTAGGTGTTGCAGAAATGGCTGTGAGACACAGTTCATGGATGCGAAGATGGTAAGGAAGTAGCAAAAATAACTGTTTTTAAGATCAAGGGCAATGCAGTCTAAAACCAAACCAAAACATCAGAAAAATAATAAAAAGTACATTGAGCTGGGTTTACTTTGACTGGCTCAAGTGACTCACCATGGCCTCAGTGTGTGATTTATAAAGAATTGATAAGTAATGATAGCATGCAATCTGCGCCACAAACGGAAACTGGAGGCGTTTCTGGGAGAGAGGAGAGCGGTGGAGGAGTTCAGCAATGTGAACCTTGCAGTAACCAAGATCTCATTTGGTCAACTTGCGCCGCACACTGCAAAGGCTGCGCAGATGTCTCGATTCTGTCTGAGTGGGTGCCACTGTTCTAGAAGTCATGGGATAACCAAAGTCATTAGTTATTATCCTCTGGGCCCCTGAGAGTGGCTGTATAAACAACAGCCAGGGCAATTCATCAGATAAATACTGAAATATTTCAGTCTGTGCCAAAGTGGTGGACCAACCAACTAAGTGACATTGCCATCCCTAGAGCCACCCTGCTGACATGGCTGAAAATGTATCATCTTCATTATCAATTTATTTTCAGGAGGGGCACTATCCTTGATTTTCAATAGAAGCAGCATTGTGATGAGAAAGCCTCTGGTCTCATTTGCAGGTTGGGGAGAAAGTGGATGGTAAATATTATGCTTCTACCTCCCTAGCTGCTAGTGCTGAAGTGCCCTTAAGCAAGGCACTGAACTCCCAGCTGCATAAGTGGAGCCCTTCAGTGCCCAAGAGACAGTACACTGGTACAAGGCTGAGTACAACCTTCCCACTCTTCCTGCAAAACAATGTTATAAAAAATAATAATTCCCAGACAACTCAGTAAGTAAGGCTACCAAAAGGGGATTTCACTTACAGAGATTCAGAACCAAATTTAGCTTTCGCCTGCTAAACAAAACACTCTGCATAATATTTTCACATGATAATACTGTCATATTTGCATTTGCAAGATGCTAATTTGCAGCAGACTTGTTTTTCATTGATTATAGCTGCTCTAATCAGAATTAAGATGGAAAGTGAACGTCTGCAATGTAGAAACTGCTTATGATATTGCTTTGATCGTGAATAAATAACACGTAAACTGTAAAATTGAATCCCTGGGATGCTGTTTGAAGCCGCCGCTTTAATTATATAAAAAGAAGCATATTCCTGGGCTTACTGGTTGTTTTCTTTCAAACAGTTCTTTGACAAAAGCATCCAGTAAGCAGAAAAGAGTAAGGACAGGGATCACAAAGAAAATTCCGTGTTCGTACATAACACTGTGCTATACCTGCGTTGGCTTTTTGATAGGATTACACCACTATACTGTTGGATTCAACACACACCATCCTTAATCCTATTTGTCAACAAATCACACACAACACCTAACCACATCCGTGACCTTAATCCCCACCTTATCTTGACAATCATCATCCACCACTGGAGGGTGTGTGTATGTGCCTGTTAGCTTGATACTATCTGCATTGTGTGCACTTCAATGCAGCGGCACCAATCAGTTACAAGGCTGCACAATCAAACCCACAACAACTTCCCTCCCTCTGTCCTCCCCTCTCTCTTTCTCTTTAAATGTTCTCACTGGAAGCAATCATCTGCCGTGGCCCTAATGGAAAAGAGCCATTCTGAAAGATGATAAGAGTGCGGAGATAGCCTTGTGCAGGTCAATAGTCAGAACACAGTCAATCACCTTGCCCTTAAAAAATTGTAGATGAGACCCACGAGAGGGAGGAATACACTCTGCCTTGCTTGCCTGCTCACCATTACGTTCACATAACCATAGGACAAGAGATTTCTGCCACTTGAACTCAACTCCATCCAGGCTTTTCTTTAGCGTGTGCTCTGCGCTTCCCCCTTCAGAAAGTGCAGAGGCAATAGAACTGTTTGAAAGGCTTTTTGACTGGAGGCCTGAGTCTATTGCTCCATCAGTGACAGTGTGTTCTGATACTCTCTGCTTATATTAAATAAGCTGCTTTAAAAAGAAAAAAAGAGCCAACACAATGCCTTCAGGTAACGGCCTACTCAGTGTCAGCTGGCTGATTTAATCCCAGTGATTGCTGGGTGTTAAAGTCTACCGTGACACAGAAATGGGTTGGATGCAAACTACAGCAATACAAGAATGCATTTGGCTGCTGAAGAGGAAAACTGCCCTGAAAGTGAAGCTGCCAACTTGCCAACGCACTGTCGAGTGCTGTTAACGTCGGCCAAGTCGTCTTCGCTCCTCAGCACATACAACACAGAAACAGAAAGACTGGTTTCTTTGCTCGAGGCGAGGATGCTCGAGAGATGCTTACGCATAAATGGAGTTGTTGAAGACTCGGGAGAGGGCGTAGTTGATGTGGCTGACCACGTGATCCAGCTGGTCCTGGGTCTGTAGTCTCAGTGAATAGGTGGTCTTGTCTGTATCGATGACAACCTGCATATGTACGGGACAGTTTATGATGAAGGTCCAAATAGCAGGATAAGATATATATACTTTATTATTCCCCTATTGGGGAAATTCTTCTTTTCACTCGTTTTTACCACACACACACACACACAACACACAACACACACACACACACACACACACTTCAGTGTGTCACCTGGTGTTCTGGATAGGTGTTCATTGCTCGGATTTCCAAGAAGTTGAAGGTCACCTCCATCTGAAAACAGCAGAAAAACATCACTGTCACCCACAAAGTTGTCAAAGTTCCTAGTTTACATCACCTTTACAGCTTTCTTACAACTTGGGTCTGTCTTTTGATCACAATAATATTGTGCTCAAAGTAACTGCTGAAATTGAGTAATCACTTAAAAGTTGTTTGATGGGGGCAGGAAACACGAGTAGTCAGACAATTAAACACGTTTTACAGTAAATTATCATTATTCAACTGTTGGGTAGTTGACTTACAGTATGGCAAATGACAAGGTAGGTGGCAACTTTGTTAAATTCCTGACTAAAAGTTTGAAAACATTCAAATACATCGACTGCAACTTTGTGCAACAGGTTAATTACTTGTGACTACACAAACGCTTGTAGAGGACAAACATACTGATAGAAATAGAAATGGATAGTCAAAATGAGGATGCACTACAACCTAATGCTAGCCAAGTTAATGTTGCACATGTCTCCAGAGGCTGATGGACCTGCTTGAATCGGACCAACATGGATATAATACTGCTCTGTCTGGAAGAGAAAATAATTGTCAAACTCTTAAAGTTCAAACAGGCTCTCTTCACTGACATCATGCCATGATAGATCAATTGGAATGTGCAACTCTAAACAAAGAAACTGAACTCAAGTTGAACTGTTTAATTATTTACAACCTGTCTGATTGTTAAATCACTTGTGTTTCTAGCTGTCTTAGACTTCACTGCAGTGGTGCTGCCACTGACCCAGGTCTGTGTACAATGTTATTATGACTGATGAAAATGATGGAAAAGACCCAAGTTATAATAAACCTGAGTTAAGCTTTATAGGTGACTCTTGAGAAAGATAATTGATTGTTGAGTCTCATCCAGGTCGTCAAATACCGAATCTTTGGCAACCCATTTGACGCACAAATGCCACCTGTTATGTTGTGTGGATCACCCCAAGCCACTTTCTTGGTTTGCCAATTACCATAACCCACAGCACTGCTATTAGACGACCTGGGAATGAGACTCATCAATCAACTATCTTTCTCAGGAAGGACTGATCCAACCTTTAAGGAACAGTTTGACATTTTGGGAATTACGCTTATTTGGTTTCTTGCCAAGAGGTAGATGAAAAGATTGATACCAATATAATGTCTGTATAGTAAATATGAATCTACAGCCAGCAGCTAATTAGTTTAGCTTAGCATGAAGACTGGAAAGAGGGAAAAACAGAGCAACAAAATCCACCTACCAGCACCTCTAAAGCTCACTAATTAAACATGTTATATCGCGTGTGTTAAATCCGTACAAAAGCCAGAGTGTAAAAACAACAATAAGCTAAGCTAACCAAACTGTAGGCTATAGCTTTTATTAAAATATGGGAGCTGCATTAATCTTTTCATTCAACTCTCTGCAAGAAAGCGAATAAGCGTATTTCCCAAAATGTCAAACTCTTGCTTTAAATCACTGACTTCATGCCACCTGCCACCTCATCATGTTCATTGTAATCGTTGTCATGACTGCTATCATTCTAAAACATCACCACCACAGTCATCATCGTTATCTCTTCTCTCCTGCTCTGAAAGTCTGCGGCTTTTGTCACATCTCTTGCGAATTACCGTGAGATCAAGGCTGGCAAGTGAAAGCCATAAAATTCCACTGAGAGCAGGGGAACATTTACCTTGGTGGGCACTTTGACAGCAAAGAGATACAGCCTCCATGTTGCCAGGACCTGAGGGGAGAACACATTCATTTTTCTGTCACAGAGCAGGAAATGCAAAATGCTAATCGCAGCAAAAAATAGCACAGCACAAACACCCCATAAAGAGAGCAAATCATCTCTGCAGCTCATCCGAATGGCTCGTAAGTCATGCTAAGCACTCTAGACATTAGCAAGCTAATGATGATGGTGCGTGAGAGCGTGTGTGTGAAAGAAATATTATGGTGAGATTGAGACAGTCCGATTCATCGCACTAAGTTGTGTTGATGGAACCAAGTAGCACATATTCAACAGATGCTCCATTGCGTCAGGGAGGAAACTAATGGTAGGATAAGAGGGAGGAAGAGGACAAAGAAGAGCTAGCAAAAAGAGAGGTGTGTTTTTGCCAAAAGAAAGGCATTACCATTTAAAAGTGTCTGGGGTAAAATAAGAGAAGGAAAATGTGAATAAATTCACATCTGCCTATGTAATTAATCTCATTCATAATTCAAAAAACTGCAATTACCATACCCCATGCATGCACTGTGCATCTCCATCCCTCCCTAGCTTTTTCTCCAAGTCTTAGCCATGCTTTTGGTTTGCTCTTTTTCTGCTGGCTCAAATTCCATTATAATTCTCTCCCTTGCATCCTGTCATTCCTCTCATTTCTCTCTTCATCTCCATGGAAATCTGTTCATTCCCCCCCCCCCATCTTCTTCCTTAATCCCTAATCCCCCATCTCCCTGTGTGCCACTATGCCCTGTCTGGTTTTCACCCGCCTTAACACCTCACTCCATCCCCTCCTCCTGCCCATACCACCTCCCTCTTCCCTTCTCTCAACTCCCCTGTCTCTTTTCCCGTTTGAGTTTTTCTATTCTTTTTCTGCTCTGTCGCTTTCAATTCCTCAAGGCCTCTCTGTGCTGAATGGCTAATGGCGCCCCGCTGAGTGGCGGTGAGAGGAAGAAAGAAAATGAAACATACAAAGAGAGAGAGAAAGGAATAGGGAGAGGTAGAGATAGAGGAGGTGATAGAAGAGAAGGACAGACACACCAGATTTCCCTCCAGATAATGAAGTCTTCGGATACTACAACCAACTCCCAGCAAAGCTGGCCTCACAGATCAGCCCTGTGTCTTAACTATATAGACATCCATAACAGACTCCCACAGAGAGCAGGACCGAGGAGAGGGAGAGGAATGAAAACTAGAGACTAAGATAAAGAAGACATAACAACCCCCCCCCCCCCCAAAGAAAAAAAAAGAAATCTCCACACCAAGCTGGTGGATGGGCCTTCACAGGAGATTGTTAGTCCAATCAGTGCTCGTTGACAAGTTTGAAAACTCTGTTATATAAATCCAGAAAGGAGCGAGGGAAGCGTGATGGGACCTTGAGGCACACAGAAAGGAAGGAAAAAAAGGAGGTGAGAGCGACATATAGTGGGAAAATGAAAGACAGAAGCATCTTCTCCCTTCAAAAGCCGTGCAAGATGACAGAAGGTCGCATCATGTAAACAGAGCCATCAATAATGCAGGCGCTCTGACGGGTGCCGATTTGATCCTCCGATGCTGAACAAGGCCTCTTGCGTATGGTTTCTCCTCTCTTGATATATCATTTACAACCCATTGAAGTATCATTAGAGATAATCAATACTCAAGACAGTTATTTTTTGCCTACTTGGATGGGGTATATGGAAAAGAAACTAAGGGATATTTATTCTGTCTGATCAGAGACCCATTGAAGATATTTAATTGGGTCACTTCATGGTCATGGTCATTCATTGGCTAGTGAGTTGAAATCTTTATTTTATTGGAATAATCACTCTATTATCACTTTATAGCCAGGAGACAAGGAGCCAAATGTTTACAATGGAGAAAAATGGTTTGTTCATGTATGGAATACTGGAAAACGTACTTTACTTTACTGACTAATAAAGAAAAGCTATGGTGTAGAACCTTATGTGAAGTATAATTTTAAAAAAAGACAAAGATCCCAATGTGCTGAGTTATGTTCACAAACACAGGTGCAGTGGAGGACAGGCTTCGTTGTGTGAGCTATGTGAAATTCAGAATGAGGTTCATTTTTTGTTTTGCTGTTCTGTCTACTATCTTTTTGTGAAATGTCTTTTGTATGTGTTGATTTCTTTTTGGCTGGATAATCATAAAGAGAGTTGTGCTTCAGGAAGGGAACTTTTTTTGTAGCAGATTTTAATTTACCAAGCTTGGTAGAGAAGGCAGAATATTTTGTTTAAGATCAACTGTAAAATAACCAGTAAGTTTGTAACCAAATGAAATGTAAATCCATGAAGGTTGGGCAGATACCATGAAAATAGAAGAAAATCATCATCATATTCAATATATGGAGGTATACCAAATACAAGATTTGAGCCAGAGCGTGCCACTGCAACAATTGTGTCCCTTCATGCTTTAAATTTCCCTTCACTACAACGTCTCTGCACCCAAATGTCCACGGTAATACCAAGGGCAGGATCTATGATGTTGGTTGGTTTCTCATTTTTATGTGCTTCTACACAGAACAGGTCAGACAAGACAGGCTTCTATATTAATTGTGTTTTGGGTTCTGAGCGCTGTCAAAAACGCAGGTGGCCTACACTCAGCACTGTGCCTGAACGCATCCTGGGTAGACACAGAGACAGAGACAGAGGACTGAACCTGCTGCTGCATTCACTACATAGACACGGTGATAGATTTCATAACATGTATCACATTTATAACGAAAGTTAGCCAAACTAAAAAATTATCCTGTTGTTTTTTTGAAACACCTTTTTTTATTGTGATATTTGCAGGGATATACAACACTTACAGTAAAATATTTCTGTTTTTGCACCTTATTTTTCACCCGCAAAATTTTAGAATTTCTTAAAAATGTTAATTTCTTTAGAGTAATCAAAAAGAAAATGTGTTATGCATCTGAAATCAATTCTCATATTAATTCATAAATCAGCAGTCTGAAGCAGGTGAGTAGTAACAGCACCATGGTAGTAACAAAATTGCGTTTCTCTCGGAAGCATCAAGCTATAAGGACAAATTATCCAGCTTTTAATATTAATTGGCACAGATAGCCGGGGCTTAACCCAAGCCCCACTGGCCGCAACCAGGACTTTTTCCCCCCTGATGTGGGATTCTGGCAACCTTCCCTTCCATGGATCAATCGGAAATCCTAAAAGCCGCACAAAGATTCATTTTCCGCCTAGGAAATCTTCCGAGATGAGACGGTGGACTTTTTTGACCTGGTCAGCCAAGGACGCGGCAGGTGACAATCTCAAGAAGTGATGAGAGAGAAGGACTGGTAGGAGTAGATGATGGGATGGGGGTGGGTGGGTACAGAGGTGCCCTTGCTGTGACGGCACAGTGTCAGAAGCACTAGTTCAAAGAGTCAGCCAGCCGGCCGGCCCCTGAAGCAGGCTGTGAGGGCAGGGTGGGAGTGTGTGTCATACAGAGGGAGTATGGGTACAGTACGTGCACGAAAACAACAAATGTATCTCTGTCTGAATGTGTGTGTGTGTGTGTGTGTGTTTGTGTGTTTGTGTGTTTGCATGCACGCGCAGCCGAGAGGGCAGAGGGCGGGGGCTTATATTAATCATAAGCTGCCAGGCTCTGGGTCTTGCACTTCAAACGAGATGGTGCATATCAAAGTGTGTCTCTGGGTCGTGTGTGTGTGTGCTGCAGCGCTGCCTCTGAGGGAACACGCTGAGGATCAATGCCAGATTTGGCCGCCTGCGGTATTTCTGGCTTGGCCACAAGGGCATTTTAAAACACACACACACACACACACACGCACACCTACACACACACACACAAAAATCAGAAACATTCCGATACAGACATTTGCATAAGTCTGACATGCTAGAACAGCGCACACACACACACTTAGTTTTGACTCTCATGCACGTATAATGATGCACAATAGCTTGCTAAGCTGGCTTTGGACTACACTCGCCCATCTCTCCCTCTCCCTGTCTCTCACACACACACACACACACACACACACACACAGCTACCATCACTCAAGTGAACTCAGCATCACAAGAACACAACCCTGCCATCAGTCAATCTGTCAGCTTGTGTGTGTGTGTGGTGTCGAGAGTGTGTTGTTGTGGTGTGTAAGTGACAGGGGTTTGAAAGCAACCAGATGCCCCATGGTCCTTGCTTTTATAAGTGGACTTTGAGTGGTTGAAAAAGAGAAGAGAAAGAGAGAGAGAAATGGAGCCAAATGAGAGGAAAGAAATGCAAAGCTCAAAAACACATCTTGTTCCAGATTCTCCCATAAAAAGTCCAGTGCGTCTAAATCAAAGAGATGGCAAAGAGAGCGCTCTGAAACTCAAAGGACCTCTTAAAAAAAAAAAAAAAGAGAGAAAAATAGAGACAGATAATGGGAAGGGGTTGCGGGGTTGTACTACAGATAGGAGTAAGAGATGGCATATAGTGTATAAGAGGAGAAATATGAGCCTAAGAGTGGCCAGGATTGGGTGAACGAGCTGAGAGGAAAAAAGGGGAGGGGAGAAACAAAAAAACATGAGCAATTGTGAGAATGTGGGATGAGATGGAGACGAGTGTGGGAGAGGCCAAACGGGCGAGGAAAGAAGAGGGGGAGAGAGAAGCGGGGTGTATACAGAAGCATCAGGACAATGGGAGCGAGAGAAAATGAATAGGATGGAGAGATAAAATAGAAGCATAGATACTTTGAGCCGCCTCTCAGCCCTGACAATACACACACTCATTCACACTTTCTCGCCTTCTCGTGGGGGAAGAGAGAAGGTCAGCAGTCACACTCCATAGCCTCTCTGCCATGGGCTACCAACATGTGTTATGGTAATCAAAAGAAAGCACAGTCCTAATTACAGCACAGAGCGCTCGCCACGCACCGTCAGATGGTAAATCCCGGACACTTGCAGAGAAAATGACTCCTCGCTGAGCATCTCACGGCGAAAAGCCGCGAAGAGGAAAAAAAAAACGTGGATGATGCAGTGGTAATGTTTGCCATTGCGCAAGCATATTACACAAACAAATGGAAGTGT